TAATTCATATTAATATCTAAATTTTCATTTTTTTCAAAATTATACATCATGTTTAATTTTTATTTCATTTCAGTACTCTGCTGTTAAAAAATTAACGTCATTGCATTTTTATGGATAAATTACATAATTCATCACTCAACTATCTTTTCACTCCTATTTTGGTACTAAAATTAAAAAAAAACAATTTAACTACTGAACTTTCAAACTGCTTCTATTTTAATCACTCTAATTTATTTTATTAATAATTTTTGTGACATGAAATTTTTTATTATTATTTTATTAATATATAATTAAAAATAAAAAATAAATTTGAAAGTTAGAGTGATTAAATTAGGAGTAATTTGAAAGTTAAGTAATTAAATTAAAAATTTAGACTTTAGTGACCAAAATAAGAGTGAAAAGATAATTGAGTGATAAATGATACAATTTATCAATAAAAAAGATGCCACGTTTTTAACGATAAGGTAATAAAACAAAACAAAAACTAAACAGATAAAAATTTATAGTTTATATACTAAACGTGTAATTTACCCTAAAAATTATTCTTTTACATATAAAACAATCCTCATAATATAACTTCTTATTAGTTTAACACAAATAATCAATTAACTATTTTATCAAAAAAATCAATTAATTATATTTACTTACATCATTTGCTTATTTAATCTATTTGATAAATTTTAATATTGTACCAATAATGGAGAAAATACAACACCCAAGAGCACAAAAGTCTAACATTTTGAATGACATTAAAGTCAGAAGTGAACGAATGATAGCAGCAGCATAGTTCCATAATCCAAATAATTTCAAAACTAGATAAAAATAATTTACAATAAATTTTATCCAATGCTAAAAGGACCAATGGCTTCATTCCCTATTCTAAACTCGGAAGTAATGTCAATCCATGATTTCCAACAATACGTTACATAGGTAAGTCTTCTGCAACTTATGCGGGACCGGTAACATAACCCTGCTAGCAGGCATCGGTTCCGCCGTCTCCGGACCTAACATCGTAAACCAAACACAAACATAAGCAAACTTATGCAACTTCGTTCAAGATGGTCGCATTTTGACAGTAAAAAGGAAGATGACACAAGAAAATGGAAAAGATGTATTATCGGGCCCATCCGAAGATAACAACGAAGTCATGTAAATTTTAGAATTAACAGACGAAGCCAGCATTCAGTAAACGCAGTTTGCAAAGCCTACGAGGATCACGCTCTTTTATATCTATGACAAACATTCAAACGTAACACCGAACTAACTTCATGATCCTAGAAGATTTTCCTAGTCACTATCACAAGGTTCATTACAATATGTTATCTGAAGTATTTATAATTTTAAAGTTTTACAAAGCTAAAGTGAAAAGGGATAACTTTAAAGCCATAAAGTACTTCATCCATTCACAATCTTATTCAAGATTCTCCCTTTCAGAAAGCATACTCGTAAATTCCATCAAGTAGAAATGCTTGAAACTAACACCATCCCGTACCCTTCTATAGAATCACTTACATTCCACACCGACATCCAATCGGCTCAACCACTTGGTTCACCAGTTAATAGTCAAAGGTAGTCAAGGAGATTCAAGAAAGAACTCGGCATGATTGAAGAACCTCTAGTGGCGGAGCAAACGTTTCGGTCCGGTAAAAGAGAATGCAAATTGTGATGCAAAAACTTTAAGTACAGTCATTACGAGTAATATTAGTGAGGGGCTGCATTCTTTGCACAACCCACCTCCGATCTATTTTTATCTTTTCCACCAATTAGTTTCATGAACTCTCGCATACATACAACAAAAATCTCCCTTTCTTTACCAGAGAATCATTAGGGACGCATCCGACGTACCACAATACACACATCTGCATTCCATACTTCTATGTGCGCATTTTGATCAGAGAATCATTAGGGACACATTCTACATACATGGTTTCCCACAATAGACACATCCGTATTCCATACTTATACGTGTGCATTTCGATCAGACCATCTTTCTGCAATACCGACCCAACACTAAAACCCTTAAAACTGTTCTAATCCATTTCATGACAGACCTTAGCACCACAAGTTAAAATAATTATTTACATTCAAATTTTCATTTTCCCTCTGTCTATAAACCAAATTGAACATGAACCACATTAAGAACATGTTTCCCCTGAGACTGAATTTTCTTCATACAGACAAGGGAACCCAACTAAACTTTAGAATTCGACAACAAATGTAGAACAAACAGTCACACATTTTAAACCGATTGTTCTAATTGTCACATTGGTTAGCCCATCCTTCTGATGCAGCTACAAAGGGGCAGTAACATACTATTCAGCATAATATATATACATATTTTTCTCAACACTGTAGCCATCGAAGCAAAAATATAATAGAATCCCAAGCTAAAAACCCGAACTTTCAGCAGATGAGAAAAAAAAACATAGCATAGACAAAAATGACAAGAAAAACAACGAAAATAAACTAATCTTCACCTACACAGCTAAGAAAAAGAATGAAAAGATGGAAAAGGAGAAACCTTTGTGGCAAAAACAAGCTCGCAGGGAAATGTAGTGGAATGAGCAAAACACCATTGCCACAATGGGCTGCTAGAGACCTCGTAGCCGAGCACATCTTACACCCTAAAGTTTGTTTAACAGGAAAGGCAAAGCCAATAGCTTTAAACTTGGGGGGGAAATGGGTTTAAGGGAAATACAATACTCGAGTTTTGGGTATATAAACGCTTAAAACAGGAGTACAGAGAGTAAGAAATAGAACAGCTTTAAAATTTGCACGAATCCCGATGAAAGCGAAATAGAGAAGTTTAGAAATTAGAATGGGTGGGAGTATAAATATTGAAATTTTTCTGTGTTTAATATAATTTTGGGTAAACTACTTAAACAGTCACTTAATTATATGAATGATTCTAATTTGACTACTAATCTATAAATTTTGTCAAATGAGTCATTTAGTTATTTAAATGATAAGTTGCCATTAATATTTAACGAAAATACTGATATGGGAGATAATTTTTAACCAAGTGATGGATTTTTTTTAATAGGATATGGTAAAATATCTTATAACATATGGGAAAAATTATTATTTTTTATAATATATAGGTAAATTTATTTAAAATCAAATATGAGATTTAATGTTAATTAAAATTAAAATGATTATATAATATATTTTAAAAGCATTTAAAATTATCAGATTATAAAAATATAGGAAGAAAATCAAATATGATATAAAATATGTTTAAAAAAAGTAACAATGGTATAGCATGAAACATATGGACACAAATACAAGTTTTTCTTTCATTGTATAAATGTCAAACACTGATTGCTTATTCTCGGCACTTTGCAGGTTGTGCTTATTCTCGGCACTTTGCAGGTTGGTTCTCTCCTCTACGCATTAATAAAAACATGCAATATATTTTAGCAGGAGAAATGTTAACGTACGAATATAACAATTTCGGTTGTTATATAAATGATTGTTTTTTTAGAACTTTTAAGTTCAAATATGTTATTTGTGGGAATGATTATTATTTCTAGATGCTATGAGTTCGAATACTTCATCTGCAAGGATATTTGAACGTTCATTATCAAATAATTGAGAGTTTCTTGAACATATATCATCTTATAATAAGATTAATAAAAAAAACATGTTGATACTTACGCCCAGTTTTTTTATAATTTATTTAATTATTATTAGAAAAAATTAGAAAAAAATATTTATTTTTAAAATTATTACGGGTGTATTTACTTTGAAGTTAGAAAAAGTATATTAAGAGTGTATTTGCAAAATATAAAACAATTGTATGAAAGTATAATTATTAAAACGTATTTAGACTATAATCGTTTATTAAATATTTTTGATTGATAAAAAATAATTATACACGATTTAAGAGAATCATTAATAAAAAAAATATTTGTGTGTAATTAAACACGTTTTTCTCAATTATCAACCTTAGAAGAATTGAACTGTATTATTGAACTCACATTTTTCAAAGTTACTAGAACATGCTATTGGTACAAGTACAAACAAGTGCTCCAAATAAGTCTGATATTTTAAGATCAATAATTCGAATCATTATGTTGTAAATAAAAAAATTGATTAAGATGATTGGGTCTGTACAGTATGTAATACGAATTAATCGACGAATGAATCATATACATGTTAAAAAATAAGATGGCATTGCTTTTAATGCAAAAAGGGTTGCATTCCTATTTTTAGGTTAATTTGCTTAGCATATAAAGAAGTTCCAAAGTAAATTGAATAGGGAAAAGTCATTAAAATCAAAATATTCCAATTTCTACTCGATACAAATGACAAATTGCAGAAGTATAATCCAAAACATTGTAAAGTAAAGATTCTTTCACATTTTGGTTTTGTTTTGCTTTCGCTGTTTGAACATTGAATCTATATTGCAAAGCAAACAAAGACAAAAAGCAACATTAAAAAAAACAACGGTGGACATAGTTCTTGTTTGAGAACCGACATAACCGGAACATAGGAACATATATGAACTGGCCTTCGGAGGTGATTGTCTAGTCCAGTGTTTTTCAACCATTTTGTCAATCAATCATCTTCAAAGTGGAAAAAGATAAAGCTCAAAACAAGTAAAAAGACACTATTTGCTTTAATCATTAAAAAAAAAACACCCCCTCAATCCACGACCTTTTAGACTCGCCGAGTTTCATTTCCATGCATAGCACAGACTTGCAGAATGAAAATCTAGAATCGGTTCCGTTCATCTGCTCGTCTCCATGATGCAGTCAAATAACCGTGCATTTTGTCCAAGTCGGCAATCTTCATCAATGCAAACATGGACGATATGCTTGAAGTGATCGCCGAAGCATATAAATACCAATGCACTGTAACCTTTTTCCGTATCGAAATATACACAGAAGGCAAAAGAATGAACATTGCAAAAGAACCCATTATAAAATGAATTGTGCAAAGAAAAAGAAAGGTGTACCTTTTTTTCCTTCCTTTTTTCAGAGGGATAAATGCTCAAAACATGATTGTAACTCAATAAGCATCACCAGCCAGATTACACGACGGAAGTCTCTGACGCTTCTCAACATAAGCTGATGGAAACCACCCTCTCCTTCTGACCATCCAGTTGAACTTACCTGTATAGTGTTTTAAGAATCTGAACAAATAAGAAATCCAGCCCCGACAAAGAAAGAAAAAAAATCGAATGCGAAGGTGTAGACAGTTTTATTAGTAGTAGTAGATGTATTTCTGTATGCATTAAATCAAATGTTTACACTAGTTGAAAATGACAGGACCTAGAAAATCCAGTAAGGCATCTCTTCTGTAATATTTCATGTATAAAGCGGATTAGTTGCAAACTATGCACCTTAAATGAAAATGTATCCGACATTATTCTTCCGTTTGTAAGAATGAAAACATCAGCTTAGACTTATCTATACGACTACAGACTAGAACACACCAGTCTATTGAGCTAGATAAAACCTATATGCACAACTTAGATATAGCCCAAGAAAAATAGAATACCTTTCGCACGACAACAAAATCACCTACTGACAAGCTCAGTTCCTTCTCAGATGAAGCATAAAAAGGATAGATTGCCTGTGACAAGAAACTCAGATCTAGCAGCTGGCTCTGTTGGAGAGACAAATGCCTTTGAGTTTTCCACCGAACTCTAGACTCGGCTGTTGTAAATTATGTTCTTTCGGTTTTTGGACGTTGGATCGGTTGATGAATTTACTAATGGGCTTCATTTTGGATTGGCTCTGAACTAACCCATATTAAGGCCTTAATTCAACAAAAATGAATATTTGAGGGATCAATTGATTGTGTGAGAAAATGATAAATAGTTTAAAGGTTATTTAATTTTAGGATAAATTACCGTTACAGTTATTAAATTATGGGATCGATTATATTTTTATTGTTAAATAATCATTTTTATCAATTAGATTATTAAATTTAAAATCTTGAAAAGTTGATCGATGAAGATTGGTTCAATCTCTTCTCCGAATTAATATTTTACTTGAATAGACTAGAGTCACACCATGAACCGATATTCCTATGAACTAAGGGTGCGTTTGGTTCACGGAATGTAAGATTACCAGTGGGAATGTAAGATTATCAGGGAATAGGATTACTGGAAATGTTGTATTTTGTGTTTGGTTGGTTTAGCAGGAATATAAGACTATCGTGTTTGGTTAAAGAAATAAAAGATTATTGAAATGTATATTTGACCAAATTGTCCTTATTATATATTTGTATAATATTACAAATTGTAAAATATTTATATATTTTCTTTAAAAAATAAATTCATAATATTTATATAATTTTTTTACAAAATTAAAAATATAAAAAAGGTTTAATGAAAGGGTAAAAAAAATTTTAACCTCTAAACTTTATATAAAATTTTAATTATAGATTTTTTTTTGTAAATCTAAAATAATTTAAGGATAAATTTGTAATTTAACATTCGTAGAATTTTTATTATTCAATGACAGAATAATGATATTTTTGAAAAAAAATAAAAATTTAAGGACATTTTAGTCCAAAACGCCGGTAATATTACAATACCTAATGGAAGGGAGGTAATGACATTCCCGGTAATATACCCCAAAAAATCTACTATTGGTAATAAAACATTACCGGGAATGAGATTCTCAGCCAACCAAATATGAGAATTTGAGATTTCCATCTCATGGGAATCCCACAATCCTTCAACTAAACACCCGGAAAGACACCGACTTGATTGAACGGTGCATTGAAAAAGTTCTTAGTCCTAAATATTCAGATTTCCTAATTAAGTTAGAACGAAATTTTGTGTATTTTTATTGACAAAATTAGGATGTAGGTGGCATAACGTGGAACCAACATAGCCACAAAAATGAACATTCAATTTATTCTCAACCCATTTATTACTCTCGAAAACAACCATTCTTCCAATCATCTTTCCCTTGCAATCCCATGCATTCACCTCTTCTTTTTCAACCAACATTTGTTTCAACATTAACTCGGTAAATAGTGACTCTTTTAACCAAATTGTTTTACATTTTTAAAAGTAAAAATGTTACATGTTGACATGTGAGTGATGCGCATGCGGCACCAAATAACAAATTTATTTGGTTGGTGTGGATATTTTACAATTTAAATATCATAATTAAACTAGTTGTTATGTCTAAAACTCTCACATTTAAATACTAAATACTGCATAAGTTTTGAATTTTTATTGTCAAATGATTGTGATTTAAAACAAATGTTGCATTATAGTCATCTTAAATTAATTAAAAAAAATATCATAACTTAAACAATAAAATGTAATAAGTTATCATCAAAGATCAACTACTAAATTTTAATGATTCGTATTTCAGCACAAAATAATTTTATTTTGATAATCATCCATAAAAGACGACGACTTGAGGATTATAATTTTTTTTTTAAAACGATGACTTTGAGGGTAATAATTAAAAAAAAAGTTGTCAAAGTTGTTTGCGTTAATTTTAGTATTTTTTATTTAAAAAATTAATTAATTAAAAAATCATTAACGATGACGACTCTAATATATATTTTACTAATTCCTATATAATATTATTTTCTAGAAAAAGTTCACTTACAATATAATCTTAAATAAGCTAGAAAAATAGAAATTTGTATATGTTTAGTTTTTACATTTCATAAATAAAATTACTTTTTTATATGCACGTTGAATGCACTTGACATGGGTCATGCCTCTCCTCATGTACGAATGCAGGATATTATGTTAAAGGGTGCGAACTTATAAAATTTAAAGGATTGACGAATTTGTAAAATTTTAAGGAGGGTGAAACAGATTTACAACAAAAAAATATTTAAAATATATAGGAATTTGAAATTTTTAATGGGCGATCTTCTCCACCCGTCCCTCTGTAGGTCCATGTCTACCTCTCCTCAAGTTGTAATCTCGCTAGTTTAGTTTATTTTTTATCCATAAATTGAATTTAGTGACTAAAGATAATAATATTTTTTGAGGTTTTAAATTTGAGTAGTTGTGATTGCAATATGTATATGCATTGTCAATTGGTTAAGAAAATTATGAATAAATACTATATTATAATTATCTCAAACTATTTAAAAAATTTAATTTTTTAATTTATAAAATTGTAAGTTAAAACAATAATAAAACTATATTTTAACTATTAAAAAATATAATTTTCTTTTGGTCTCTACAATTAATTTTGGTTTCACCTTTAGTTTATCATAATTACATTTCAATGGAAGTCATTGTGTCATTATACCATAAATTTAGTTGACAAAATTTAAATTAAATAAATTATTTTTTTATATATTATTTTTATCATGCCCCTCCTCATGAATAAATGCAGGATATCATGTTAAAGGGATGAACTTATAAAATTTTAAAGGATTAACGAATTTATAAAATTCTATGGAGGGCAGATTTCCAACAAAAAATACAAATAACATATTTAAAATATATAGGAATTTAAAATTTTTAAGGGCCTACCTTCCCCACCCGTCCCTCTCTAGGTTCATCTCTACCTCTCCTCAAGTTGTAAACTTGCTAGTTTAGTTTATTTTTTTAATACATCAATTGAATTCATTGACTAAAGAGAATAATATTTTTTTGAGGTTTTAGATTCAAATAGTTGTATTTGTGATATGTATATAATTGTCAATTGGTTAAGAAAGTTATGAATAAATAATATATTGTAATTATCTCAAATTATTTTTTAATTTATAAAATTGTAAGTTAAAACAATAATAAAACTATATTTTAACTATTAAAAAATATAATTTATTTTGGTCTCTACAATTTATTTTGGTTTCAGCTTTAGTTTACCATAATTACGTTTCAATGGAAGTCACTATATCATTATACCATAAATTTAGTTGACAAAATTTAAATTAAATATATTATTATTTTTATATATTTTTCTCGTTCACCCTTTTAATTTTCAAATCAAACGACTTTAAAAACTTGAAATTCAAATTGAGATCCCTCCAATGGAGTCCACTCCTCTCCTTTTTGACCAAAATTGTTTTCTAATCATGAAAGAAAATAAAAATCTATGTTTTTTGTTCTTATAAAAACTACCTTTTTGTATTAGCTTTATATTATATTTATATTTAAAATCAAGGTGAGAATAAAATTTTATGTTGGATTTCGAAATAAAATTATAATCACTATATTAAAAAATCATATTTTAAAAATAAGTAATTGAATTATAAAAGATATTAAATTACTATCTATATTTAAACGAAAGATTAAGATGTCTGTCTACCTATTATTGATTTTTTTTTGGATATCTTATTTTTTTTTATAAATTTAGTGCATACATATTATACATTAATTATAGAACTTTTCATTCATATAATTAATCTTTAATCCATTTTCATGTGTCATTAATTAATAAGATCACTTAAAAATTTTAAAAAAATCCATCACCAATGTATCAAATGAATTAATAAACCAATTATCATGTTCCACATCTTAAAAATAATTTACTTTCCTTAAATAAAAAATATCCAAACAAGAAAATCAATCTAATTTTCCTTAACTTTAATTTCATTTCCTTTATATATATTTTTTCAATCCAAACATTGGATAAAATAATTTAGGTATGCAATATCAATAATCTCTAGATATAGTCAATATTTTTAGTATTTTAATAATTAATTAATATGAACATCTTCAATACTAATTATAAAAATCTCTAAATATAACTAAAATAAAATATCTTAAAAAATATTTTGTAGTTAATAATATATAATTTTTATTTTATAAACTAAAATATTCTATTAAAAAAAGTATGTGGCTATTAATGGAAAACTAAATAATGAGACAATAGAAAAATGACACTTGCCACAGAAACAAAAGGTCCACGTATATTAGCTAAATACCGAGTACCTAAAGATGAGAACTTTCCTCCCAAAAGTGAATTTCAAACGGATTAAGGCAAATAAAAAGGAGCGTTTTTTTGAAGCGGATTCTGATTTCTTTGGCTTTTTCCTACTAATTTTTCTCAGCGTACGTACTGTTACTAAATATTACCATTTCCGCTACTATTTGTCTTTTCTTGTTTTTTGGCCAATACAGCTAGGTTTTCCTTTGCCAAGGGACACCCCACACGATTTGTGAGGGGGAAAATAGAGAGAAAATTGTAGTACAAAGGAGGGGAAAAGGGAATCAATCATGCCACCTAAGAAGAGAAAAGCTGCCAAGAAGAGGAGGAAGGAACAAGCATCCAACACCATCGGTTCATCATCTACCAACAACCCACGAGGTACTTTGATTTGCCTTTTTTTTCTTTGGAAATATTGGTTTGGGTTTTGATTTTTGATGGATTTGGGATGATGGGTCTTTTTTGTTTTTAACTTCTTTTGATTGAATCTTGATTGGTTCTGTTTCTGCATTTGCTATTCAGTTCTTTGTTTAATTTGTTGGAAATTTATGGTTAAAAGAAATCAGCTTTCTGTGCTTAATGGATAATATTGATTTTCTAGTTTTTCCCTTAATTAATTGATTTGGTTGCTTTTCAATTTGGGTTATTATTGTCCTTTAATTACTTACTGTTCATTTTGTGCTTTTTTAGGAGTGTTTCGATATATTTGTTTCAGAGTCTTGTGGCCAGTTTTAGCCCATTCTGTATTTTACTTGATTTTGGTCAGAATCTGTGTTCATGAAAGAACTTGTCTAATGTCTTTTTAGTATTGGTCTTGGTTCCATCCAAAATTGGTTGAACAATCATTTTGCTTTATAAATTTAAAGATTTGTTCATCAGTTTGGCACAGTGTTTATTTTGGTTGTTTCTATAGTGAATTGAAAATTTTGTTGTTTGAATGGTGATTGGAGCTATTATGATGTTTATCAAATGGTGCTAGGAAATGATGATCCGAAAAGCCAAGATGAAAGGGACAGTGATGCTAGTTCCCATGTATCACAGGATGACCGCACTCAACAGTATACATTCGTTCTTAGTGAAGATGAAGGGAAAAAATCAAAATCACATGTAACTGAGGTGAAGCCTGTGGAAAAGGCCACTAAAGATGCAGAAAGCACTGAGAAATTGGGATCGGATGGCGTTGATTTTAAATTTGAAAAAGGGTTGGAGCCAAAGAATGATCTTGAGATTACCCATGTTTCTATTCAGCGTGTTGAGCATGATAAGAGCTCTAGCAGCAGCAGCAGCAGCAGCAGTGGGAAGAGTTGCCGCAGTAGTTCGGATGATGAATCTCAAACCTTTAAGATGAAATCAAAGGAAGAAGCCTCTTATGATACCCAGGATAAGTCGTCTACTGTTTTGTCCGAAGGACCTAAGGTTTCTGAAAATGTAACATTTGAGAATGGTAGAAGTTATTCTGCAGGGAAGACTGTTGCTGTTGACAATTCGGTAAAAACTGCATTATCTATGCCAGAGAAAATGGACATTTCCGCAAAGAATACACTACCTGATTCAGTTGAATCAGGGTTGAAGGCAAGTGAAGAGAATTTGTTGCCCTCATCAAATGGGATTTCTGGGGCTGAATTGGAAGGAGCTGAAGGAAAAAATTTCCCATCCTCAGATATTCCTACTGCTGAAACTAGTGATGTTGCAGGAACAAACCAAACATTAGATCCCCATGAGCATTCTGAAAAGCAGGTATATCTTGCCCCTATTCTTTTATACAATCGTGCGTTTGGATATTCCTTATTTCATTTAACTGAAAACTGTTTTTTCCTATTTATTTTCTGCTTTGATTCACAGCCTCTTGTTGCTTCTACTCCTCCACCGGTGCAAAGAACCTCATGCTTAGGTTGCTGTGGGTTGTTTGAAGTTTTTACTGGTTCTGGGAGATAATTGAAGTTTCGAGTCATCCGCCAAGTTAAGATATATTATACTTTATTGTTTGCAGAACTGGGTGTTTTAGATATACTGAGTAGCTCATATCCTTTGTGCTTTTGTGGGTGTATGGGGATGCTAGGACTATGAAACTAGAACTTTAGATCCCAAACATTTTGCTTGTCATTTGATTTTTTTTTCCTTTCCAGTTATCTGGTATTCTTTTCCAATTTGCAATGATTTTGCTTTGAACCTCATTGTCTTGTTTTTTTCCTTTTTTTTCTTTACTGAACCATTGCTTAAAGCTTACAACTAATCACAAAAGGTTCCTGGTTGATCTAGATTAGCTTGATGAATGATTAAAAAAACCATATGGCAGCCTGTTCAATTGTCTCTCTTGTGAATTGTGTTCTAGCTACTATGATGCACTTTTGAGTTTATTGCTCTAACTCCTTATGAAGTGTGCATGTCAGCTGACATGCGATTAGAAATACAACTCTCTACGAACTCTTTAAATATAAGAACTATTAAACATACTCATATCCGATACAAGTACTCGAATCCTGGTTGGATTACTTTTGGGGGCAGTCTGTATTTTGTGGTCAACTGTGTAGCAAGCAGTCTTGTGCCATTTTAGTCTGAACATCAATTTGTGGGGATTTGTTTTCTAGATGTGTATCTATTCCAAGGCACAATGCTTTTCCCCCTAAAGAAAAATGAACAGGAGACCTTGCTAGGAGAACAGTTAGTTTTTGAGGTATCCATTTATTTATTAATCATATGATAATTCACATGCGCATCCATTTATTAATAATAAATATAACATCAATGGCGTTGATGAGAATTAATTTAGAAACAAAGTTTGGTATTTTGATAATATGGCTGGTCGGTCAAGCTGTTCATATAAATTGGACAAATTTTACACACGTGTAAAATTGTTTATATAAATTTATTTTTAAATATTACTTAATATTTTAATTATATTGAAAATATTTTAAATATATATATATATATTTGTAAAATTCAGGTAGTGTAACAAAAATAGTTCTATAATTTTTTTGGTTAATAGTTATATAAATGTTGATGCAAAGTCTTTTTAATATTAAAATTTTTAGCTTATTAAATAATTTAACAAATATATGACAAAAAGATTTTGGTGAAATTTATTTTCACATAAACTTATATTTTTTAACCAAATACCAAAATCTTATATTGTTATTAAATAAATTAAATAATATAATATAATATTTTCAGTGTCGTGTATCGAAGCAAGCACTCTTTAGTTGTTTTGCATTTGATGGAGTGAAGTAATTCTTTAAAATATGCTACAAAGATTTATGAGAAAGAAAAAAAATTGATATAAACATAGTGTAAATTATAATTTCTTTAACTTTATTCATTTTAATATCATTTGACCTATTTTAATATACAAATAGTATATTAAGAGTGTATGTTCAATGTCAAATAGTTGAGAGTCTTTAAATAAATACTACTTATATTTATCTCAAATTAATAAAAAAAATTAAATCAAACATGACACGTTAAACTACAATGTCTTTATTGTCTATTGAAATAAAAACCCAAATGAATGGAACCAATAACAACACAAGCAGAAGCAGCCGATCTCCGGCCTCTTTGTACGTTTCAAGAATCATTTTTCTTAGTGATGAAAGAAGAAGACGCATCAATCATTTATGCACCGCCATGAATTGCTGCTATGTAGACAAGTTGTGTTACTGTAAGTATGATTAAAAATGCCTCCATTGTTCTCTGCAAATTTAACACATTGCTCACATTAAACAAACCATATAATAACTGCAATTTCCTTGAATGAATTTCTTTCCCTTCTTACCAAACGAGCATTCCTGAGTTCGAGCTCGATTTCTTTGCAGGCAAATCTGTGAAAAAAAAAATAAAATTTCTTGCTAGTTTAGTAACAATGGGTTCCAATTTCATGATGTTAGTTAGAGGGTTACCCCATGGCAAGTACAGTAAAGGTCCAAGCAACGCCCGCGATTGATATATCATTTATTATATTTTTTATTTAGTTATTATTTATGTATAGTATTATATGGTGTATTTAGTTATTTATTTTTTGGTATATTTATTATATGATTCGTTTAACTATTTCATTATTGGTTTTTTATATTTATTTTATGGTTAATATAATTATCTGATTTTTATTTTAAGTTGGCTCACAGAATCTATAATAATAATTCTGTTAATATATAAAATTAATTAGGAATGGTCAAAATACCTTAATTCATTCTTTATCTGAGAGGATTTTTTAAAAAAAAAATGGATTCGAAAGGGCGGTGTCAATTTTAAAGTGGAAAATCCCGCCCAATTCAAATTACTGGCAGTAGAATCTGCTTCTTCATTGTTTTAATCTTTGATTCTCCTTCATTACTTTCCAAGGGTTTTCTTCTTCTTTTTCTTCAATTTTTTTAGGATACTATCATTAACACTCTGGCTATTTACATCCGACTTATTCGAATCAAAAGGAACGCCAACGTTCTCTACATTTTATTTGTTTCTGACATTGGTTTATCTTGCTTAAACTTCACTGTCATTCAATTTCTAATCTGTTTTATAAGTTAATGCTTCTTTTCTTATTATTTCCCCCTTTTGCGTTAGTTCATGTTATTGCAGAACTCCCAAATGTAAAGTATGTTTTATAAGGTATTCTAAAACTTTCCATATACAACAGTAGAACTTTTTTTTTTGGTAAACATGAGCTTTGTTTTGATTTAGAAAGTGAATATTTTCTGAGAAGTATACGATCATCTTATGTTATTAAAAAAGTACGAAAATTCTAAACAAAACTATTATAAAAAATCTTTGAACAAAACACGTGCGTAATTATCTAATGTTTCACCTACATGCGTAGAAGAGAATATTCTGCTTCGAATGGAGTGGCCTAATTGACGAAATTGGCCACACTTTGGAAGCAAATTTGTAACAAAATCTACATTCATCGATGTAAAATAGAATCAATCGTTTCTGGGAAGCTAAAAAATTAGTTTTCGAGTGTTGTTCATTACAACTGTGAGCAGGGATTTAGTAACAGAAAGCTTATGAGAAAACAAAAGCTAACAGTGTCGCAAGACCTGATCATGATTCTTTATCTGCCCTTAAAACGAAACGCCCAGATACCAATATACGATAATCTGGACATCAGATACCACGGGCAACAACTAAAAAAACAACTTACTCAAACAATAAACTTGCAATCTCAGTCGAAAGATGGTGATTATTTGAATAATCATCACAGATATATCAGGATTGATAATGATTTACATCGCCGATTGCACTAAATGACAGTAAAAAACAATTAAAATCAATCTGAAAACCGACCCAAATTTTGAAAATCTAAAAAGAGGTTGAAAACAACACGCGCAAAGAGATCAGATGGTAGTGCATGTTGGTGTTCATCATTCAAATGCAGAAATAATGGATAAATATCATCACGCCTCTTTGCAGACTCCAGTGAACCACAAATTCATATCAATTAAAAAGAGTAGTTTGATTTGTAAAGATGGATCAGATAAAAGAGTTGAATTTATCACCAGTTTCCATATCGAGATGAAAGTAGGACTGGGTGTCAAACAACAATCATCATTTCCATCTCCTAAACTTAAAGAAAAAATAAAAAATTAGTGAATTCGGAACAAATAAATGGATCAGATAGTCGATCGCTAGTAACTCAGCATGTAGAAACTCAGACTGGGTGTCAAGATCAATCTTCATATCCGCATAAAATAGATTTCAATTGAAAAATAGAGGATGATAAAAAGATATAAATAGATGGAATCAGATAAGAATGTCAATCACCAGCTTTGCATATGAAGACATTTAATGTATGCAAAGTAAGACTGGGGCGACAATAACTATCATCACTTCCCCTTCTTCCAGCTAAATCATACCTAAATGTTAAAAAAGGGTTATAAAAAAAGAAGCAAACAAAACTTGATTGAAACTAGCAAAATTTGGAACATGTCTACATAGATTCCTCAATGGATCTGGGTTTCCTTGAACTCCTTGATCCTCATCTTCCAGATCTTCTTAAAAAATGAGATATAGATCGGATAGAGAGAGGGTCTAAGGGAAATTAGGGTTTTGGATTGGCCGCCCTGTATATCAAGGGACTGAGTTGCTGCAGCTTTATAAAGAGGTGAGACCGTAAGAGGGATGGCATTTCTAGGGTTTCATTATTGTTAGGGTTTGTAGTTTGTTCGAGAGATTAGTATATATCAACGGTTCACATCAGTCCTCTCGCCTTTTACGGTTTTGTTCTTTGGGTAAACTATACCATTAACCACTTAATTATTTAACCCTTTTATTTTTATCATCGATCTTTGAATTTTATCAATTAAATCACCTAACTATGTAATAGAAATCAAGTCACTTCTTGTTAATATCTAATGGAAGTGACGTTGTGGCAGTTAATAAAATTGATATAACTATACATTTAGTCTTTAATTCTTATATTTTCTATCAATTTAGTCATAATTTAAATTTAATTAAAAATTAATCATTTAATCAAGATGTGACACGTGTCATATGACATATGTCACCACCTAATTTAAAGATTCTTTAATAATTTTATTTTATTTAATAAAAAATGAAGTACTCACTTTATAGCATATGAAGTCGAAAAAGAACCTAACTAATCCACTTATGAAAGGGTTAAGTAGGAAATTGGTTTTGGATTCGTCGAGGGATGAGCCTAAAGTCCATTGGTTGAGCCTAAAATCCATGATGGCTCAATATAATACTGGTATATGTCTAGCAATCGAAGAGATGCGATCCTGCATACATGAATCAGATGTCAACTCGGATCTATCTGATGTCGTATCAAGCTTCCGGCCTGCTAATGCTCCAACAGAGGCTTGGAAAAGGAAGCCCATAACTCTTGTGCTTGATTTGGATGGTAAGATTTGCATTTTTCGTGTGTTCTCTACTTTGTTTTTTTTTTTTTTTGGTCTTCAAGAGCAATCCATCATCATTCATTCACCTTCACTGCTGCCTGAACATTTCTTCAAATGAACTAATTAATTCTTGTGATCTTTTAAAGCGTGTATCAAACAAACTGATTCAAGTCTTTAAATGGAGCCTATAACTTGGAGTTTAATTTACTATGAGAACTATACAAGATATTGGCTTTAACTGATTAAGGAAAAACTGGTGGAACTTTTTGGGAACTTATTCTGTCAAGTCCCATAAACAGAGCAGGGTAAACCACTAGTCTCTGGAAAATGTTGTGCGTGCGTATGTACAAATTTTAATGTCTGTGAGGTCAATATTGAAGGTTTGCCAGCGAATTTCCAAATGCTTTCTGGGGTATAAATTGATTGCATGCAGACCAGTTTTGTTTGCTAAAATATTATCCGACAGTATGAATTCACATATTGAATAATTTCAGATGGCATTTGTGTTCTGGGAGCTCCTTTCTCCTTTTACAATTTCTGTAGAATTATTTGAGCTTCTTTTCTGTTTTACTTGGTGCTTTAAACAAACTAATAATAAATATTACTATAGTGTTTGATTACCATTTCTTTGAAATACGCAGAAACTCTTGTGACTTGTTCACTCTACACTAGAACATTGCAATGATGCTGACTTCACCTTTACAGTCTTTTTCAATATGAAAGAGCACACTGTATATGTACAGCAGAGGCCTCGCCTACAGACATTTTTGCAGAAAGTTGTAGAGATGTTTGAAGTTATCATCTTTACTGCCAGCCAAAGCATTTACGCTGAACAATTACTGGACATAATGGATCCAGATCGAAAGTTCATATCTTGGCGGGTTTATCGTGAATCTTGCATTTTTTCAGATGGAATTTTCACAAAAGACTTGACACTTTTAGGTGTTGATCTTGCAAAGGTTGCTATAATTGATAATTCTCCAGAGGTATTTACTTACTCACCTAAGGTTTTTTGTCTAGTAGCAGCATCAAATTTATTCTCTACTATCAAATTAAATAGTAAGAGGGTGAAATATCTTGAAATGAAAAAGAAAAATGGGAAAGAACAACAATTTTCTTATGCTTATACTTCTAATTGCTCAAGAATTCTTCTTTGCTGATTTCAGGTTTTCAGGTTGCAAGTGAATAACGGGATTCCTATTAAGAGTTGGTTTTATGATTGTAACAACCCGAATATTTACAAAATAATATTAATTGAAATTGGAGGTAAATTGTGAAAATGGGTGAAATTAAGTGACTAAATTAAAATTTATGGAAACTTGTATGCCATTTTCGAAGTAAAGGAAATTCAGGGACCAAGCCTTAAATTTCCCCTAAAACTGTCGGTAGGCTTGATGATTTAAGCGTGATTTATGATTTACAATCAGAAATCACAAATGCTATTCCTTCAATTTTCTTCCTTTCACACCTCCACTTTCAAGTCCGATCCAAACGCCGTCCGAATTCCGATCGTTGTTTTGAAACCACCGTTGTGTTCATCATCGAGCGAGAAACAAACCCTTCAAATTAATTGAAGCGAAACGCGGCCAAACGTCGGGAATTTCCAGTCAAAGTAGCGACGGTTTTGTTAGCTCTATCACCGAGAAAATCTTAAATTCACCGCTGATCGTTGCTCCGTTTACGACACCTCCCGCACCATCGTGTTCCTTGTGCCGTTCCGAGTTCACCGGTGTCAACCTTGTCCGCCGTAGACGGCGGCGCGTGAGGAGGTGGTGCAGTCAAAGATTCGGCCATTTTGAAATCGAGCTCTCCGCCGTTCAAAAATTTGAACCGATCGTTGTAAGTATCTCGAAATCGCTCAAAATAATTTTTAGAAATTTTTTCGGGATTTTTAGGGCCTCGGAGGACGCCTCACGCGCCACACGCGCCGTCGCAGGGCGAGTGGCTGCTGGAAACCGATTTAACCGGTTTGACCGGTCTGAATTGCAAGTTTGTTAGTAGAATTGCAAGTTAAGCCGACCTTGGTTGATGAGATCAAAGCTAAGCAGCCCCTTGATAGCTCATTGCTTTCCATCTTTGAGCAAGTAGAGCAGGGGACAACCTCAGATTACGCAATTGATCAGGATGAAGTTTTATGCTTTAAAGGTAGATATTGTGTGCCTGATGATGCTGAGTTGAGGCAGACTATCCTTACTGAGGCTCATAGTAGTCCATATGCTATACACCCCGGAGGAGATAAGATGTACCGGAATTTGAGAGAGAGATATTATTGGATTGGTATGAAGAAAGACATATCTGACTTTGTGGCTAGGTGTTTGACTTGTCAGCAAGTTAAGGCAGAACATCAACATCCATCAGGTTTGTTACAGCCTATCAAGATTCCTGAATGGAAATGGGAGCGTATTACTATGGATTTTGTTACTGGCTTGCCTATGACTCCTTCGAAAAAAGATTCAGTTTGGGTGATTGTTGACAGACTTACAAAGTCAGCTCACTTCATTCCTGTGCGAATAAATTATACTTTGGATAAGCTGGTAAGATTGTATATTTCAGAGATTGTCGGATTGCATGGTGTTCCATTGTTTATTATTTCTGATCGAGATCCGAGATTTACTTCGAGAT